TCCCTCCCTCCCCTTCCCTCTTCCTTCCCTCCCTTTGTCCCTTTCTTTTTACTTTCTTTTAAAAAGTATTTTTATTTTATGTGTATGAGTGTATTGCCTGCATGTGGGTAAGTGCACCCATGTCATGAAATGCCCACAGAGGACAGAAGAGGGTGTTGATCCCCTGGAACTGGAGTTACAGACAGTTGTTAGTGGCCATGTGGGTGCTGGGAATCGAAACTGGGTCCTCTGCAAGAGCAGTCAAGTGCTCTTAGCCACTGAGCCATCTCTCCAGCCCCCCCTTTTTACTTTCTAATAGAAAACAGTCTCCTGAAGTATGTATGGATAGGGTAGTCACATGTCTCAGAGTCTTACACACCAGGATTCAGGGGAGGACCAAATCCCAGAGCTCAGTGGGAAGAAAAGCTTTTTATTCCAAACTTGGCATTTTTAATGCCTTCATTGTGCTGCATTATTACTGACAATGCGTAATTAGGCTTCTAATGGCTGTACTTTATTTTATTTTATTTTTTGTCTTTTTGAGACAGGGTCTCCCTGTAGCCCCAGCTGTCCTGGAATTCACTATGTAGACCAGGCTGGCCTTGAACTCACAGAGATCCACCTGCCTCTGCCTCCCGCGTGCTGAGATTAAAGGCATGTGCCACCACGCCCGGCCGTACTTTATTTTTTTTTTATAAACACTATTGTAGAATATTCAAAAACCAGCAATTGCCTAAATCTTATCACCCTCTACAACTATTTTACAAACAAATGCAAATATGTTTTTGCATATATAAATCATACAATACCAAATAATACAGTTTTTCATATACACACACATATAAATAGACACAAAGCATTGTAGACTAACATGCTTTTCTATACTGGAGCTAGTCTATGAATCAGGAGACTTGGGCTCATTCTTCAGCATGCGACTACCTTGGCCACCTTGAAGTGAGCTAACCAGTTGGTTATGTCAGGAGACACAAGAGAGACACAGGGACTCTAGTTTCAATGTCTGTTGCTGGATATACTAATTACTGTTTCCTAGATTCTCTTTTTCCTTCCTCAGTACATAATCAGCTGCTAATCTTTATAAAATTTTTTGACTGAATTTTATGTGTGTGAGTGTTTTGCCTCTATGTGTGTAAGTATACCATGTGTGTGTAGTGCCTGTGGAGATCAAAAGAAGGAATCGGATTCCCTGGAATTAGAGTTACAGACGACTGTTAGGCACTTTGTGAGTACTGGGAACTGAACCTAGGTCCTCTGCTAGAGCAGCCAGTGCTCTTAACTGCTGAGTCATCTCTCCAGCCCCCATAAATATTTAGATTACAACTCTTCTTCTATTCATTAGCGTATTACCTTTGCTCATTCTTTTGCTTTTGATTCACTCTTTCAGGTGGAAGTCAGGAATAACCTGCGGCAGTCAGCTCTTTCCTTCCACCATGTGGGTCCCTGGGATTAAGCTTAGGTTGCTGGGCTTGGTTGCTGAGCCACCTGGCTGGTATTTTAGGTCATTTACAAATAGGTTTTACTTTGGGAGCCAGTATGAAAATATTTATATTTACTAAGTGAATTAAGACCCTTTGCTTTCATTGATTTGACTGGTGTGTCTGATTTTAGTTCTATCATCTTATTTCACCATATTCTTATGTGTGTCATATTGCATTTATTGTGAGTCTTCCAATGTTTTCTTTGATTGTTTCAAAGAAAGTTAAAGCTTCATATGATATTTAGCAAGGCTTGTGTTGCTCTAGAACTTCTTTGTACTAATATTTTTGTTAAAGATTTATGTTTTTATTTTATTTATGTGTATGTTGGTGTGAATGCATAGGTGTGTGGATGCCGGTGGAGGCTACAAGAAGATGCTGGATCACCTGGAGCTGGAGCTACAAGTGGTTGTGAGCCACCCACTGAGGGTGCCGGGAACTGAACTCAGGTCTTCTGGATGAGCAGGGTCTTTGTAACTTGCTCCCAGTCTTGCCCTTCTTATCTGGGCTTCTTCCATCTGGTTTGTCGGCTTTAACTGATACCCTTGACCCCCTCCTGGAGCTGATGTGGTTGCCTCTCTTTCTTTTTCCAGGGACTTTTACCCCTTGTAGTTTTATCAGGGCATCTCCCCAATCATGCTTCTCTCTAAAAGTTCCAGGATTCTTGCTGCCAAAGATAAGAACGTTTTCTCCTTCCCTGCCTCAACTCCTGCTGGGAGTCATACTTCCCCCTACCCCCTGGAACACAGTGCAGTCCTGAACAAGCCCTTTCAAGTCTCAGTGGGCCACAGAAGATTGTGGGCCACAGAGGATTGCCTTAGTCAGCATACTAGCAGAAAGCACAAAACCCCACTGCAGCTGGGATTCTGAGGCCAGTTTAATGAAGGGGCAGTTGTGTGGGCAGGGTAGCAGAACCCAGGTGAGAAGGTGAAGCCTCCAGAGGCTCACAAGTTTGGGGCGCGGGACTCTACTACTCCTAGGTCTCATAGCATCGAGAGCTGGAGCCGTGGAAGAAGGGCTTTGGGCAGCGCTGTGGCACAGTAGAAGGCAGCCACTGCCAGAACACGGGTGCCTCCGGAGATTGGGAGGGAGTGGAGGAGCTGGGTGAGCAACAGTGGAAAGCTAGCCTTCCTCTTCCCACCTTCTTATCAAAGGTCATCTGAGAAGCCGAAGCCATCACTAAGGTGATGTGAGTTGCAGAGGTCAGCTACTTCCTGGTAGAGAAGAACCCGGAAAAGATCTGGGTTTGGCACTCAGGCAAATAGGGAACAAGTAACATAGTATTTTATTTAAACCTGTCTCCTAACTTAGAGGTTCTTAAAATTAAAAAAAAATTACTCTGTGTGTATATGTGTGCACATGCACATGTATGTATGTCCTCAGGTCCTGTTCATCTTGTTTTTTTTTTTTTTTTTTGAGACAAGGTCTCTTATAGTCCCAGTTGGCCTGGGACTCACTATGTAGACCAGGCTGGCCTTGATCTCACAGACACTGGTCTGCCTCTGTCTCCTGAGTGCTGGTTCTGTGCCACCATGCCTGGACCTCACCTTGCCTTTTGAGACAGGGTTTCTCACCTGGCTTGAAGCTTGCCAGTTCATTTTTAGGCTGGCTGGCCAGGGAGTCTTAAGGATCTGTCTGTATTTGCTGCCCCAACACTGAGATTACAAGCACCACACCTGGCTTTTTCATGTGGGTTTTGTGGATGGAATGCAGGTCCTCATGTTTGTGTGGCAAGTACTTTACTGACTCAACTGTTTCCCCAGCCCCCTAGTGTGGAGGCCTCTTTCACTTTGGGAGAATGTAATGCCTTATCCACGGATGGTGTTTGTAAATTTCACATGCCATACCTTCAAATTCAGTGGGATTGTGTTCTTTCTGCAGTTTGCCTTTCTGGGAGAAGGAGAAGGCCAACAATTTGAAGAATGAGATACAAGAAGTCCAGGAGCTTGACAACTGGCAGGCCAAGGCACCCTTAGTACACAGCTTATTCTCTGGTGGGTTCAAGAAACTTCAAAAAAACTGTCTAAAAAACGAGGGAGCCCCAAAGAGCAGCCTTTTGAGAGGCCTCACATGAAGTGTAGAGATGGCAGAGCCTCTCCTAGGGAGATTGTCCCTTCTGCCCTGAGCAGGTCCCCTGGGCAGATGTCCCCACCATGCATCCAGGGTTAAATGTGTTGGCTGAAGGCTGTTGGACTTGTAAGGGAACGCTTTAATGCCATGCCTCTATCCACAGGTGTTTCCAACATTCCAAGACAATCCTGAGCAGAAACAAGCATGTGCTACTGCCTCCAGCCAGCCTCTGCCAGTTGCTGGGTTATTATCATTATTTTTGACAGTGTCCCAGTCCTATACCAATTGTTTGACTCTAATGAGGAATCCCTGTTTAACTCTCTACTTCGAAAACCTCTAAAACTTGTATAAAAGTTGTATGAATCATAAAACAGACACATCCTTGAATATCTTTCATCTAGAGCCTGCAACTGTTTGTATTTATCCAACTTTTTTGTTTGTTGCTGTTGAGACAGGGTTTCCCTGTAGCCCCAGCTGGCCTGAAACTTACCTTGTAGACCAGGCTGGCCCTGATCTCCCAGAGATCCACCTGCCTCCACCACTGGAGTGCTGGGATTAAAGGTGTGCACGACCACGTTTGGTACTATTACTCTTTTTTTGATGAGCCTTTGAGTTCAACCACAGACCTTGTATCTCAGCATGCCTTTCCTGAGGGTCAAAGATATTTTCTAATCACTATATGCAAATATTCGATGCAAGGAATTTAGCATTGACACTAACATACAGTTGTATTTGGCTTTAATCAGATACATTTAGTTCTCTAAGGACACTTTCAAGTCAACAGTAGCATACAGATATTATGTGCATGTTTTAGTGTGCACAGACTGCTATGATAGAATACTAGAAACTGGGTAGTATATAAACAACAGGAATCTCTTTCTCATGGTTCTGGAGGCTGGGAAGTCCAAGCCCAAGGTGCTGGCAGATTTGGTGTCTGATGAGGGTCTGCCTTGCTGTGTCCTCATATGGCAAAAGGGGCAAGTTAACTCTCTGGGTTCTCTCTCTGTCTCTCCGCCTCTGTCTCTGTCTCTCTCTGCTCTGTCTCTCTCTTTCTCTCTCTGTCTCTCTCAGGGTTGTCTTAGTGTCTTCTTGTGTTGCTGTGACAAAATAGCCTAACAAAAGCAACTCGAGAGAAAGGGCTTATTTTTGGTGTATAGTTCCAGAGGGATACAGTCACTCAGTGAAGGAGGCATGGCAGCAGGCAGGGAAGGTATGGTGACAAGAGTGGGCTGGCTGATTGATCACAGCATATCCATATCTAGGATCCCAAATGTGAATAGGAAGAGGGCCCAGACCACAAAGCCTCAAGGCCTACCCTCCGTGATCCACTTCCTCCACCTAGGCTCCTCCTCCTAAAGGAACTAAGCCACTCCTGAAAGATGTATCCCACTCCTTCAGACCCACATTAAGCCTTTCACGTGGACAGTTGCCACAGGTCACCTATAAGGCCCTACCACTTAAAGGACCCATAATTTTCAATGCCATTGTACTGGGGACCGTTTTCATTTATCATGACTGCACTGGGAGCAATTTAAGAGAGGAAAGGTTTATTTTGACCTGCAGTTTGAGGGGATACACGATCTGTCATGTCAGGGAAGCTATGACAGCAGTGATATGAAGCAGCTGGTTACATTGCATCTACAGTTAGGAAGCAGAGAGAGATGAACTCTGGTGCCGAGCTTGCTGTTTCCTTTTTATTTGGGCTGGGATCCCATTCAATGGAATGGTGCTGCCCACATTCGGGATGGGAGTTCCCCCTTCAGTTAAATGTCTCTGAGACACAGGCAGAAGTATGTTTCTGTGGTGATTCTAAATCCAGTCAAGGTGACAATAAAGGTTAATAATCACAGGGACCAAGCCTACAGGACAAGAACCCTAGGAAAAGTCACATCCAAACTATGGCAGTATTAAAGTTCTAAAATTCCATGAGATTTATGAACATCCTGTAGGAGTCTACTAATTTTTCACATTTTTAGTATGAGGTATTTAGTTTGGTTAGATTGTTTCCTTTTGATCTTGGGCATTTGGCCCTCAAAATTGAGGTAGCTGACAGCATTGTTTATAGGACAATTTGGTAAAGTGTTTTACATTTTGACCATTGAGATCATACAGCTGGCCTCGAGAGGCTTTTCATTCCTGGTTGGACGATCAAGACAGAGTGTCTGGACATATAAAGACTTCCACCCTGGACTAAGGAATGTGCCAGACATGGGTGGCATGCTTTTTAGTGACCTTACAGGCTGAGTTAGAAAAGGACAGAGAGCCCATAGTGATGATTGGTATCCTTCTAATACTGGGGAGCTCCTGGAGGGATGATGGCCTGGTCACTGAGGAACAGGGAGGTCACCACTGCCTTGGGAACTCACATTAAGGCTTCTAAACTTGAACTCTGTTCAGAATCTGTACACAAAAAGCAAATGTTTTGGGGTGTGCATGAAGGAGCCCAGCCTATGACCATCTCAAATTAGTAGCCAGATGTCCCAATGAGTTGTTTTCCTAAGGAAATACATCTACCTCCATCAAATATGGCGAGACAGTAGGAAGCAGCAGACAACCCCACCCCAGTGGTGTGGGTGTAGCAGATCATCTGACTGCAAATGTGTTCTTTTGACTGGAAAGAGCACAGGCTGGAAGAAAAGGGAGTGCTGCTAAAAAAAAAAAAAAAAAAAAAGGACAGAATGGATGCCCAGACCATGGTCATACCAAAATGACTGGTTCTTTATCTGAATTTCAAATTGAATCTGGAATTCTGCATTCTTATCAGCCAGATATGGTAACTCAAAATGACCACAGAGGAGATGACATAAGGGTGCAGAGGGACTAAGTGGATCTTTGGAATGACTTGGCTATTGGTAGTGGAAGGAAAAGTGGCCACAGAGAGATGTGTGGTGCTTAAAGGACCTCCTGTAGCCCACATGGCATCTCTGTACACCTAGGAAAAATATGCCGTCAGTGGACACAGTTGGTGGATGCACAGGTGAACTGTGTATAAGCTGGATTTCAACCCCCATTTGCTCACTATGTAGTAAACCCCCTATATAACCATACATAGCAATCTATTTCCTAAAGTAAGGCACTTCTGGAGAACTACAGGTTTTCCAGGAGGTCAACATCAGGCAAGTTGATTTTGAGCAGACTGTGACACACAGGTGGAAGTGTCTAGGCTGTAGTTGGAGTATAAATCTATGCATATGAAGAGGAAACTCTTGTGAGAGACATGCCAGATCTAGTCACAAATGATCAGAATGGAATACTGGTCCCAAACTGAACAGTGAACTCAAATGACTCTCGAATCTCTAGGGTCTGAGGAGAACCAAATTCTCTTTAGGAACACTGCCCTACCTCAGGGCACAGGAGACGCCTTAGAAATGAGACCCATAAAGATGAACTCCTGAGATAAAATTACAAACTACAATCAGGAGTGCCAGAAAGTGTCAGTAGCTGGAACTCAAGCCAGATTAGGTGATTTAGAGTGTTTTGCAGGGGCTGGAGAGACGGCTCAGTGGTTAAGATTGCTTCCTACTCTTCTAGAGGAATGAGTTCAGTTCTTAGAACCCACGCTGGGCAGTTCAAACACCCCCCCACCTCCAGCTTCGGGGGATCCACCACCTTCTTATGGCCTTGGACATCCTCACATATGTGGCATACACACACATCAACGCACATACACAAATAAAAAAATTTTTTTTAAATGAATGTTTTGCAATATGGTATGAATTACCATAATTAGGGTGCATGCAATTCCATTTGTAGTAAGATACTGGGGGTATCACTTTGCCTAATGCTGGCTAATGGAATTTCTAAATGACAGAAGGGACCTAGGGAAGGCAATCTGGGAGTTGGGGATGGAGCTAGAGGCCTTGTCTTGAAGTTGCACTTGAAAAGCAGGACAGTATTTTAAATTGAGTAAGTTTGTTGGGAGTCATTATGAGGACTGTGAGGAGACTAGCCCTCTCCCCAGCTATTCCTTGACAGTGCCCTTCAGTTTTCAGCCCAAATTTTACTATTTTTCTGTGTAGTTTCTTGGTGTTAACAAACAATAGGTGGGGCTGGAGAGATGGCTTGGCAGTTAAGAACACTGGTTGTTCTTGCAGAAGACCCGGGTTTGAATCCCAGCCCCTACATGGCAGCTAACAACTGTCCATAACTCCAGTTCCAGGGGATCCGACAGCCTCTTCTGTCCTCCGCAGACATTGCACAAACGAGTGCACTTACTACATGCAGGCAATACACGCATACACATTAAAATAAAAATAATAAATAAAATACTAAGAAAAATATTGAAAAAACAAAAACAAAAAAAACACATCTGCCTGCACGGAGATGCTGAAGGACCCTTTTGTACGCTCCAAGCTCATCTCACCGCCCACCAACTTCAACCACCTGGTGCAGCGGCCGGCACCACAGCTTCTCAGAGGCATCGCGGCGCCTTGCGTCCATGGGCAGTGATGGCCTCCTTGGAGAGCCAGACCCCACCGTGAAGAGGAAACTTTGGACATCTCTGTCCAGTGAATCGCTGTTCTGCCCCCAGGGGTCCCTGAGCCCTGCAGCATCCCTGATTCAGGTCTCAGAGGGGCCCCAAAGCCTCCCCCCAGCCCGGGAGTCAGAGAACACCCCCCTGACACCCTCTGGCAGTGCCCGCCCAGTCCCAGGGCAGAAGGAGTGAGGGAGCAAAGAGCGTGTGGAAAGCTATACTCCCGCTGGTCCGGGACACGTGGAAATTCAGACTCGGGGAGGGCCTGGGTGGAGGGCTAACAGGTTTGCCTAGGTGCCCAGGACTAGGGGGTCCTGACTCTCCACCTTCATCCCTCCTTTCCCTGGGCTACCAACCTAGGCCTGCACTGGCTGCTGGGGGTGCCATGGCTCTGGTGCCCGGGGGTAATTGTGCCAAAGCTGTGCTTTCCAGGGCCAAGTCCTGGGAAGCTTATAGGAGTCAGGATGAGGGATGAAGGACCGGTCCCTGTAAGCATGCTGAAGGTCTTGTCTGTGGGCCTGGCCTCCCTCTGAGACCAAGAGGATACATCCCGGTCTCTGCTCAAGGTCAGGCTGGGAAAGATGGGCTCTGATTCAGAGGAAGGAAGGAAAGATGCAGGTGAAGGAGGTGAGAGCAAGGGAGGGGGTAAAGGAAGTGAAAGAGGAAGAGACAGGAGAAGTGTGAAGAGGAGGTGGTGAGGGACAGAGCGAACCAAGAAAAGGAAGAGACTGGAGAGAGCAGAGGAGGAGGGGAAAGCGAGCTGGGGCAGAACCAGACCCAGGGACTTTTCTCTGGGGAGGGGCTTGGGATGGGGAGTAGGACTGTTGCCAGTTAATTGGTCCAGGGGAAAACGGTTCCTAGGCAGGGAGGGGAAGGGAGGGTATTTATAAAGGGGT